GGGGGGGGGGGGAGAGGGGGCCCTTGAATATATTGGGGCCGGGGGCCGGGGTAGGCAGCTGGTGCTGGAGAGATATCCGACGAGAGAATGAGGTCGAATTTGATTGAGGAGGTTGTTGTTGTTCCCCCGCGTGTGTTGGGGCCTATCGGAGCGAGAGATCGGTCCGGGGGTGGGGGGGGGGGTGTTGTTGATGATACCCCGAAGCGGGTGGGCGACCTTAGCTGTGCTTGGGTGGGATGTATGTGATTTTGTTCTCTTTTTTTTGCGTCTTTTTTTTTTTTTGCGTGTTGCTGTCAAATTTTAGCGGGAGGAGCGCGAGTGGCAGGATATAGGCGTTACGTCGTGCGTGCTGACGTCGGATTGTGTGTGTGCAAGCAGCATGGGTAGGACTGTGTAGATGGATGGCGGCGGTGGTGTTGGCGAAGGGCAGCTTCCCTCGGTCTTGTCACATGCCCTCACATGCTACTATGTCGGTGGCCCTCTTTCTCACTTGCGTCTTCCTGTTGCCATGCTGCCGCCAGGCCTCTTTTCCCCCTCAGAGCTGCTGTGTTTCCCCGCTTTGCATCAGCATTATTCACGCTCTTGGTGTTCTTTAGATGGTGAATTAAACTCCGCGCGGGCGGGGGGGTGTTCTTCAGGATGTGTTGGGGATGCCGTGTCTTTTTTTTTTTTCTGCTTCGAACTAGGAAGCGAGAGCGAGAAGAAGTGTGCCGGTTAGGGCTAGCACACTTTCAGGGCTAGAGCTCGACACGGTAGGCAAGCGGCGACGGGTGTATTTTGATTCCCGCCATTCCATTTTGTTGGGAAATATAGTAGAATTTGTTGACACATCACTGCTGGTGCTGGTGCTGCTGCGGGTCCGCGAAAACGGTCGCGTCTACCTGTGGTGTTGTGCATTGCTGGCCCCGGGTATAAAAAATTATGAAAATAGGATAGAGGTCCCCCCCCCCCCCCCGCGCCTCTTCCTTCCTAGTATCCGTCGCCCCTTAGTTTCTCTTGGTAACTGGTGGTTTGTGCGTGTGGCATCGGATAGGGACGTCGTGCATCATTGTCGGTTGCTTGCTGGGCCGTCGGTAGGGGGGAAGCAACAGCTGAGCACTTGTTGTTTGTCGGGCTAATAACCGAATCAGCATGCATAGCACCAGCCTCTCTTATACTGGTGCCTCTCTTATACTGGTGAAGACGGGGGGCGGAGCTTTGCTTGATTTTGTCGGGGAGAAAAAAAAAAGATAAAACCTTGGTTGGTTGCGGTGTTGCACTTTTTACCTGGTTGCCCTTGGTGTCGGAAACGTCTTCACAACGTCTGCTTTCAGACAAACAAACATCGAGGGGGCACAAAAGAAAATACCGCACGATCGGGGGGGGGGGTGGGCGTTCCTCCCGTGTTTTACCGCACGGGGTCGCCCGCCCGCGGTACAGGGGGGGGGGGGGGAAAGGGTTTTTTCTCCCCCGGGACCCCCGGGGGGGGCCCCCCAGGGTTTCCAAATGAAAACCCCCTAACTCCCGGGAGTTTAGTGTTGGAACCAACCAATGTGAAAAAATGTGGAAAAGAAGAAGAAAAAAACGGGGGGGGGGGAAAAGATTTCTTTTTGTTGGGAAAAAAATTTTCAAGATTATCATCTTTTCTCTTTTTTTTCCCACCCCCCCCGGGAAAAAAAAAAATCGTGCTTTTCTTCGTGGAAACCTCCGCGCCATTATGGAAAATCCGGCGCCCCCAAGGCCCTGGGAATTTTTCCCCCCACCATTTCTGAGTGAATTTCCTCCTCCAAAAAAGGAAAAGCTTTTAAAAATTTTTGACCCCCAAATGCTTTCC